CATCTATTTATTTTAGTAATAGTCTTACTTAAATCATTGCACACTATAGTTTTTAAATTAAAATAATAGAATATAGAATACTAACCTTATACATTACACTAATGTGTTAAATCAATAATTTATGTGTATGTAATTTCATATTTTTATTAGTCTACTAACAAATATTTTTTGATACCTAATAAAAAAAAGAATATATTTATTTCTCTCAGCTTTTCCTATGGTTAATAATATAATGATTCATTATAGAAGCAATGATTATTATTATTTTGATGTGTTTAGAAACTGAAGAACTGTGTATGGATGATTTTGTGGAATCATATATTTGCAATGACAGTGAAAATGAAAATCTTGCATTAATTGCCGAAGAAACAGTTAATTCAAGTAAAATGTACACATACTTAAAACATTATATTAAAGAATAATTTACTGAAATATTTATATTGTTTTACCTTAACTGAAAATGAAAATACCTATAAACATTCAACTTTAAAGCCATCATCTACTATCAAAACTCATAGACACCAACTCAACCAAGTATTAACTTAAATAATTTATCAGCTATGCGATTAGGGAATAAGTCTTTTTTAAATWTTAATTTGTGTCTTTCGTCGCTTTTGGAATAGTAAGAATGCCTAAATTTTCTTCATTAGCATCTTTTCTGGTAGGGAAGTGATTCTAGTTGGTACTTTGGGGTGTTAAAAGTAAAAAATTCACAATAGTTTTCAAAAGTTTCAGAAAAAAACAAACAAAAAATTAAGGAAAACTGAAATTTTTATTCAAAACTAGCTTTATTCAAATACTAAAATTTTGATTTTTTATGTAAATCTATCCACTTTCCCACCTTTTTAATTTAGGACAGTTATTATTATATTTTATTTATTATCAAAATACAGGCTTAGGTCATTTATAAAAAAATTACAATAATTTAATGTTATATTGTTATAGAATTGAAAAGAAAAATGACTGTTGCTTTCAAACTCAGCGAAAGCAATACTACGGCAAATCGTCTAGCTAATATTGCAGAGAAAAAGTGTGACATGAAAGCAGCTTACTATGAGAAAAAAATCAAACTGATGGAAGAAAAAAATGCAACTCTGAAAAATGTAGAAACATTATTCTCTGAATTTGTAAACTCAAAGTTGCATAAATTCCATTAAAAAACTAGACTGATATAATTATATTACAGACTGATTTTTTTTTTTTTTGTTTCATTGTAAAGTTACGGAAGTTATTACTATTAATTATTATTTTTTTTGTTAGCATTGATTATTTTATTTTATATTATGTTTTGTTATTTAAATTTTTAACTAGTTTTAGAAGTTATTTATTTTACCAGAAGGTTACCCATTTTTTTCTATGACGTTATTTCATTTTTACCAGAAGGTTACCCAATTTTTTTTATGAACGTTATTTCATTTTTACAAGTATGTTACATATTTTATTTTGTTTTTTGTTATTCTTAATAATAAAGATTTTTATATAATACATATATATTTGAGTTGCATATTTATTTCACTGTATAATTATTATAATGTAAAATATTTACAGAAGTTAATAGTTCCTATCATAGCTACCTACCTGTAGTAACTTTTGTAAAGTTAGAGAGGAGAAAACAATTAAAACAAGTAGGGTTTTCTGAGTTTTCTCAATCTGATGTACCTGATAGGTGCATTATCTTATCTTCATCGGCAAACTGCTCAATATCGATAAGTTTGAATATTTTATCCTTACTTATATACTTTTATCTATACTTTAAGAATTTAAAAAATAACATAAATCTATACACTGTAGGATGATGATTTTGTGAATAATTTTAACAAATCGATTCCATTATAATTTTTATGCTGAAATGATTTAAAAAAATCATAGTTTACGGACCCGTTAATTGTGGTCTACCCACAACTTCATTTTAAGAGAAACCTAAGTGACAGCTACCCCATAAGGACGTAATTTTAAGGGAGTGTGCTTAAGTGACACTTAAATTAATTTTAAGTAACACACTAATGCATAGGTACGGCAGATTATCTTCTGACAGGACTTTAAGACAAGGTAGTTATAATAATAATATATTTATTAAACATTTCTTTGTGATAGATATCTTAATACATTATTTCTTTGTTGTCTTCCTAGACTTAAATCTATGTTTCTGTTGTTTAAATCAGCCAAGTTATCTTCATCTTCTATCAAACCCAAATCATCAAGCCCTTGGATATCAGGTTGATCAATCAGCTCTATGTTGTTTGTGATACACATATCGTGCAGCACTATACTARCATTTATAATAGAAGATGCTTTCTCTGGTTTGTAGTGTAAGGTCCTATCTTTTAACAAGCATCTAAAAAATTAATAAACATGTTTGTTAAAATAAGGTGAAAAAATAAATTTTAAAAGATCTTAGCTAAATCGCATTTTTAGCACTCCATTGCAGCGTTCAATTATGCTCCTGGTTGACATTTGCTTTTTATTATAATATTCTTCGACTTCAGTGGTTGGATTTGATATTGGTGTTTGCAGCCATTGACGCAAAAGGTATCCAGAATCACCTGATAATATATTATTAAATTAATAATAATACACTAAATTATATTTATTAATAAGAACTTTCACTCATGATAAATTGTATTTACCTAATAAATAAAAATCATTATAATTGCGTCTGTGCAATTYTTGCAATATTGGTAACACAGAACTGTTGTTCCATACATGAATATCGTGAGTACTGCCCGGGAATAGTGCATTAACATTCAATATCTTTAACTTAGAATCACAAATCTAAAGAATAAATTATTAATATATAATTATAGGTAATATAAACATTATAATGAATATCTTTTTTATTTGTACAGTTTATGAGCACATTTTCACTAAGCCATGCATAATATTAAAACAGTACATAGGTAATGTATAGAAAATAAGGTTATTTGCATGTTTTATCAATTTAAATAAAATAAAATTGCATGCAMATTTAAAATATAACATTAAAATGTAATAGAACATTACCAATTGGACGTTGATTGAGTGATATCCTTTGCGGTTTACATATATACTCTGGATGCTGGTTTTCATCCAAGTTTAAATTTGATGAAGGAGGTGTGATTGCTACGTGCGTACAGTCAATACAGCCAATAACGCCAGGAAATCCTGTATCTCTGTAAAAACTAGATAGTACAAAATTATTAAAAATATCCTCGGATTTGCCCGATAAAAAAAAAAAAATTTGAATTACCCATTACGGGCATCGGTAAGTTCATTAACATTTTTTGGAAATTTAACCCAAAGGTTAAATATTTCGGGTAGATTAAGTGCAGCCACAACCTCACTTATGCAACGGGATACTGTTGGTTGTGATAGAGCCATAAATYGGCTATTGCCAATAGGAGACTGGTATGAGCCCGTAGCCAAAAAATTCAAAGTTACAAAAATCTAAATAATAAATAATTCATAATTATAACAATATATAATAATAATAAATTAACTGAAATCAGGAAAAAAAATAAAAACAAAATCGTCTTCAAGTGGAATAATGAATGTGTACTTACTTTAGTATTCAAATCAATTGCAGACGAACGATTGTTTGAAACTATATATTGTGGTCTTAATAGGTCAATCAATTCTTTAACAACGTCTTTTGTGAGTCTAAAGTTTTTTACAAATAAACAATCTGACAATGTAAAAGGATCTGTCACATTGTCTGGATTTCGAGCCTGTCTTTCATAATATATATTATGATTTTCGTGTTCCTCGACGTCATTAATGGCAAACAACATAGCCATTTCATCAAAATTGGCCATTCTAATAGTATATATAGAGCAGAATAATAAAAAACAAGTAATGACTACCTGATAATGCACTGATGACACAAACATAATTACAATTTACAATGTACAATATTCAAAATCATAACTGATAAGGTTTTAGTATGAGTACATGACACGATTTAAGATAAATTATCATGCGATATAGGCTAGTCACCGACTKTCTACCCATTCGACTAATAGTCGAATGTTTTTCGTGCAACTAAAGTCATACCTTAATTCAAGATACCAATTATTTATTTTCATGCGATAACATTTTTATTGGATGCGACAAAGTTTATCACGATTTCAAGAATTGGCCCCCTTGGTGGACAAGCAGTCATTGAGTAACTGTTCCTCAGTATAGACAACGTGCAAACGATGAAAAACAGTGCAGTCTGGTGGACAACTCCACAAGTTCTGTTATTATCTTCATTTTTAGATACGTGTTAAAGCGTTTTATGACTTATATTTGATTCAAAAGATTGAAAATACATTCAATAGTTATTTTAATTACTGTCTACTTCCTATATATTACACAAAATGAATCAACCAGATATTGTATTAAAATGTGGATTTAGTGTTACTAACATTGAAAATGTATTCACAAATAATAAATGTGAAAAACCGGTTAATAGTGGACATGTGCATACTATCCAAGAAATACAGCAGCCTAATGGATATTCTTTTATATCTGGTTTTATTATAAGGCAAACTTCTGTTAGTTTACCACCTTACAAAGTGACCTTGGAGGTATACAATAATTTTATATTTWATATTTTATCATTTTCTTATATAAATATTATAAAAATATTTGCATAACTAAATCCAACTAGAAATGTTATCAACAGGGCTCGGGACTTAAAGCATTTGCTTATTTTTATGGATTGACTTAAAATGTAGCAGAGTGCTATAGAAGTGTATGCCATGTTACAACACGTTCATATGCAATTATGAAATTTGAGTGCTTTTTTTCAGTGATTTTAAAAAAAATATGCTTATTTCAAGTTTTTCTGATAACTATTGCTTTTTGACAGGTTTTTATACTTTTTTATGATTTTCTCCTGCAAAGTTGTTTTTTATAGAATTAAAATTAAAAATAATTCTTATCTTATCTACGTTGTCGCGTAGTCCGTCGCCGTCCATGGCATCGTTGCAGGGTTAACAAGTATAATCCAACGCTCAAAATAGAACTGGATTTCGGGAAAACAAATTAATATAATCGAGTTCTTGTTTATCAGTCTATCACTAATTTCTCGGTAAATAATATTATTTGACCGTCGTGGTTTTATAGGCGTGATAAATACAAATAATGTTTTGATTTCAAAATTTAGTAGTCGATTGTCGTTCGTCGTATTGCTTTCGTTTCCGTATTCATTTCRACATCGTATGTGTGCGAATACTTCGACATTCAACGTCCTTGTTTTCGTTTCTATGTTTTTTTCGTCATCGTTTGTATCCGAGTACTTAAATTAATATAGAATAGGAAAAGAAAAATCATCCACTTATACTACTCTAAAAAGATACGTTTCTGAATTTGGATCTGACATTTTTTCCACAGACGGACATGTTTTATACTGTAAAATGTGTGAAATAAAAATTAATTTTGAAAAAAAAATATAATATAAGAATGATCAAGAACAGAGAAAATTACAACAACTACTAACAAATCAAAGTTCAGCACAATCCGATTTTAACAAGGATTTATGTCAAGCAATGGTATATGTTAACGTTCCGTTAAATAAGCTTTCTAACAATACATTTCGAGTATTTTTAGAAAAGTATACTGGTAAAAATATTCCTATGGGAGCGACATAACGGAAGGGTTATATTGATGATATTTTTAATACTACTATGGATAAAATGAAAATGGAAATAAGGTAATATAAAATTTGGGTGTCGATTGACGAGACATGTGACGTAGAAGGACGGTTTATTGCCAATGTTATAGTTGGAATTCTAAAACCCGATTGTCCAGGACGCATATTTTTACTGCATTCAGAAGAACTAGACAAAGTAAATCATTCAACTATCTGCAAGCTGTTTGAAAAAGCTATGGGAATTGTTTGGCCTGGTGATATACAATATGATAATGTCTTGTTATTTTTATCTGACGCCGCTCCCTATATGGTGAAGGCAGGTACTGTTCTGAAAAATATTTATAMAAAAATGATACACGTAACTTGTTGTGCTCATGGACTTCACAGAATCGCTGAAGAAATCCGTGGACAATTTGGAACAGTAGACGAACTAATATCTAGTATGAAAAAAATATTTCGAAAAACTCCTTATCGTGTTTAAATGTTTAAATCTGAAGCTCCTGGTATAAAACTACCCCCAGAACCAGTTATTACCCGTTGGGGCTCTTGGATAGAGGCTGCAATTTACTACTGCGAACATTTTAGAACAATTCGTCACATAGTAAGTTGTTTAGAGTTTAGATGAAAACGACGCAGACAGCATTAAAAAAGCAAAACTGTGCATTGTAAAATCGGGTTTAGAAGCCGATTTGGCATGTATAAAAAGTAATTTCGAAGTTCTTACTAAAGCCATTATAGAACTGCAAACMAAAAATGTTTCATTGTCTGGTTCACTTGCTGTGGTTGAAAATGTGAAACAGAAATTTTTTTTGTTAAAAGGCAATCGTGGAAAACTAKTTCTAACTAAACTGCAAAAAGTTTTTGAAAAAAATTATGGCTTAAGGATTTTAGAAAAAATATCAAAAATACATGACGGTGAAAATGATAGTTATTTAGATGACTTCAGTGAATTTCCAGATGACTACTCCAGCGATGAAATTGTGTACTTTAAATATGCGCCTATTACATCAGTAGATGTCGAACGGTCATTTTCGGCATATAAAACCATATTATCCAACAACAGGAGGTCATTTGTATTTGAAAACCTCAGAAAACATTTGATTATTCAATGCAATAATGACGGTAAGATTTAATTAATTTTTTTTTTCCAATTATTTGTAAATATTGTTTACATTTTATTTTTCAGAAAATCCCTCGGAAAATCCATAAAATCCTCAGTCTCCAAAATGAAGTTTAATTTTTTTTATAATATAAAGATAAAGATTTTTTTTTTATTTTATTGTTTTTTTTTAAATATATATTTTTGCTTAAATTTAAGTTTTTTAAATGCTTATTTGAGTGCTTATAATGATGTTTTTAAAACTTCCTTACTTTAAATACCAAATTTAGGACTGGTAACTTGTGTACCATTTGACTACCAACATTTAATTTGCCTAGGAGTCACTAAAAAGCTTATAACTTTGTGGCTAACAGGTAGTCTAGGAGTAAGGCTGTCTTTCAAAAAACATGAAGCGATTTCTTCAGATATAAAAAAATATATCATACCTTATGTACCATTGGAGTTCCAAAGAAAACCACGTGCATTAAATATGTTTAGGCAGTGGAATTCAACTGAGCTAAGGATGTTTTTGTTATATTATGGTGCTGTTACACTGAAAAACCATTTAAAAAATGATATATTTCAACATTTTTTATGTTTACATGTTGCCATTCGATTGCTGTGTACAAATAAATATTGTTATATACCTCAGTATTTGGAATATAGTAATAGTTTATTGCGCCATTTTGTAGAAACTTTCAAAGATATCTATGGGGTTCACTATGTTTCGCATAATATAYATGCTCTTGTTCATTTGRCAAAAGATGWAGAAATGTATGGTTCATTAGATAATTTTTCTACATTTCGGTTTGAAAACTATATGCAAMAAATTAAAAAAATGATCAGAAAARATGACAGGCCYCTGCARCAAATTAGTCGAAGAGTAAATGAAATAAATTCTTGTTCTCTTAATATGAATTGTGACTGTGATTCAACTATAGATTATACATATGGAAAACAACATTACGAGGGACCTTTGCTCTTAAGTACAAAGTATCCACAGTATTCAAGTATCAAGTGCAAAGCTTTCACTCTAATTCCTAATGATCTTAAAAATTACTGCTGTACTTTACACAATGGTGACATTATAATAATAAATAATATTGCTCATCTTAATGAAAATAATTGTAAAGTCTTAATTGGAAGAACATTTTTGAAGTTAAATAATATGTTTGAAATACCATGTAAATCTTCTTTATTGGATATTTACATCGTAGAAAAGCTTTCTGAACAACTGTTTTGGCCAATAGAAGAAATTCAACATAAAAATTGTCTTTTTGCAACCCCTGAAAATTTAGCTTTTTTGCATCAATTCCTCTAATGCATTCAGACATTTAAGGGTTAATCTCTAAAAAATAATGTGAAAAAAAACCTCAATRTTTATTAATTGTAAATATATATACACAAGATAGGTACACACTTTTAAAGATATTATGTTTTTAAATTAACAATTTTGTCATATTTTTTTATTATATTAATGATAATCCTTCATGTTGTTTCCAGGAATTTTGTAATTGTAGAATTTGAAGATGGACTTCAAATTGTTTGTAAACATTGGAAAAAGAATAATGATTTCTTTTATCCCGATGGTATAATTAATAAAAACAAATACTATAAATTAGTTTCAAAAATGGTTTCTCCAGACTACCAACCAGAAAAATGTAAATGGTCACTACACAGTTTTATAAAAATCTATGGTTCTGATGGTTAGTATTTTTTTTTTTTTTTTGAGATTAATGTCTTATACCGTGGAGTAAAAAATATTCAGTAGAATGCCCCTTTTATTTTGGCCTGCCATAAGACATATTAATGATTTTATGTTTTTCTCATATGGGTTAACATTACCTAGTTATAAACTTTAATTATTAATCCATATTAAAGATATGTTGATAATAGTGTACATAATAATTGTTAATAAACATTTGCCTTTTATGATGAATGGTTCTACAGATGTATTTGAAAAGGCTATAAAAAAATTACAAATTGCAGAAAACTATAGTGATGTAAATACTGATACTGATATAAATAATGCCAAAAGTCAACGTCTCATAAGGGCCAAAAAAATGTATGATTCTGGC